ATTCATGCAATTGAAACAATCAACAAACTAGTCATACATCATGAGTAACCCCTTAATCAATCACAAATCCCTAATCAAAACTACTCACAATTCATAATTGAAAAATTAATAGAATTGGGAAAGAAAGAATTAATTGTCATTAATTAAAAAGATTAAACTTACAAAGAATCCCCAAATCTTGACAATCCAAGGCTTGAAAATCTCTCAAAAATTGACCTAGGGTTTATCTCTCTAAGCTCATATATGTAAAACAGACAAATTGGGGCATATTTATAGAAAAAGACGGAAATCAGCAAAATCGCATGACCGCACGGTCGCCCGCACGTAACCATATAAATTACGAGAATGGTTATGAGATGGAAATTTATCGTAATAATGTGAATTAATACAAGACACGTGTTTATACGAGACACATGTTTATTATTCAAATAATATTTTATGCATGCATTTACCGTGTATATCGGATCGGATGGGATATTAGGATCCCATTATTTCAGCATTCCTTTTATTCTTACTTTCCATGTACTTGTCACCATCCCAAGTACATAAGGGAGGTGTTGTTGTTTGGTGCAATAATAAGAGAGACAAAACAATATGAGTTCTTCTTTTCGTATATTTTATAGGGAAAATGGAAACTAATAATCCAACTTTTTAGCGGTCTTCTTAAAATAGTCTCACCTTTTCGTTATTCATGAATAATCCAACCTTTACACCTCATCTTCATTCACGGGTCTCTGACCGGTTGATGACCTGCTATTCTAAGTTATTTTCTTATCTTTGCAAACCATTATACCATAAATCACACTTTTCACAAAGATAATATTTTGCAAAGATAAGAAAATAACTTGGAATAGCAAGTCATTAACCGGCCAGGGACCAGCGAATAAAGATGGGGTGCAAAGGTTGGATTATTCTTGAATAACGAAAAGGTGGGACTATTGTAATAAGACTGCTAAAAGGTTGGATTATTAGTTTCCATTTTCCCTATTTTATATTGGACTACTTTATGTGGTATCAGATCCAAACCCAGACTTTTCTTTTTAATCTGTTCGTTGGTTACCATATTTGTGGTTTCACAACTAGAGGTTAACAATATTTTATTCAGTTTGGTGATATACTCGATGACATATTGGTTACCTCATTTCTTCAAGATGGTAGTTATGGAGATTTTTTAGATGAAATGTCCAACGCTCTATATGCCAAAAATAAGATTGGGTTCAAGAATGGTGACATTCTAATGCAGGGAAACAATTCTCCTTATTTATCATACCGGCAACGCGTTAATGTTGTGGTAATGGCGTGAACCGCGTGACTAAACAACAGTATGGAACTGGAATTAAGACAAAGTATCAAATTCAAAACGGTGTGAGAAATATGGATTGACCTCGAAGAAAGGTTTGACAAGGACAGACAACCTGCCTCAGCATATTTTAGTCGTCTTTGACGAACGTAGGACGTGATGACATCCATTACCAAGAAGCCTAGTTGCTCCCATGGAAAATGTTTGTCCAGTATTACAAAACAAATTAACGAAGCTCGTGATTGGGACCATCTCTATGATTTTCTCATGGGATTAGATGATTATTATGGGCACCTGAAGAGTCAGATCTTGGAAGCACGACCAATCCCTAGTCTCACATCCGCATACCATCTAATTTCAGAGGGGGAGTAGCATCGCAATATCACTGTGGCAATAAAAACAAGTGCTAAGACTAAGACAATTGAGACTTAGGTTAATATCACTTGTGATACAAATCATAAGATGAGTGAAAAAAATGGACGTTTCTATACCAGTGTGGTAAAACGAACCACACGTATGCAAGATGTTTTGAGATTATCGAATACCCTAATGAGTTGGAATTTGTGTAAACGGAACACTAAACACGTGGACTCACATGGGCGAGACAGCAACACACATGGAACACATCCTGGAAACAACATATTGCACGAAGCTCTTAATGTGGCAAAAAAGGAGGCCACTTAGGGTTGCCGACGTGGACCAACACAATAATTGTGTTCTAGGGTTAATAGATGAACAACTTCAATGCCTGATACACCTCATGCAGTTTCAATTTAATGAGGAGGGAAGAAAACCTCATTTTTTTTTGGGCCCGAAAAACCACCATTGATGGTGTGGTAAATGTCGGGTAACATTTACCTAATAAATAAATTCAAAAGATCCGAATTACAAGAGTAAAGATTGAGAAAAAGAAGAAAACCTCATTATGCTTCTTACACTCAAATTAATATTGTGTGATAGGAGCATCAAAAGCAGGTCGTGGCAGAGAAGTGGAGGTTGCATGTAATGAAAGTGATGGAGACTTTGTAGCACAATGAAAGAAGACTTTACAAAAGCGTCAACTTGATATTACTGGGCCCAAAAAGAGGAAAAGGGCTGGACTACGAGTTATAAAAACCGCGTATAAAAATATTTTCACTAGGTATTCACCCCACTTGATGGTGCAAGCGATGACAAAGATGACTGAAAATAGAAAAAATGAAGTCATTAGAATTGATTTTGGATGCATCTTTGATTTTAAAATACATGTTTTACCATCAAAGCGTGGTCCTGTTTTGGAAGCCATGAAAAATAGTTTTCAGTTAAATTTGTTTCTATTTTAGTTTTGATTACTTTGAGTGGTTTTATATTATTTGCAAATAGTGAAAAAGATATGGGTATATGTTTTCATACAACGCGATGTGTTTTTAGTTAGTATGAATTACGCTTATATCCATGACCGTAGTGAGGGGAGGGCTATATTCGTATTAACTATCGAATAATAGTTTAAACATATCCCTGTAGTGCACCAAAAGCGTGTGAAAGTGCACTCAATAGTAAATGCAGTGCAACATTTGATATAATAAAATTGTACTGGAAAAATAAATAAAATAACCTTCAGAGCAAAACAACAATGGGTAAGTGATTAAAACAGTATACATCGTGTAAGTGTAGGAACATGTAAACAATTGTAAGTAGAGTGTGGCATTTAATGTAATGATGGTGGAATAATAAAAAGGAACATGTGAGCAGTTGAAATGATAAAGAATTAAATTTTGGACAGCATAGGTACAACAATTTCATGAAAAGAAGCACACTATTGGCACCAAGTAACACAAACAAAAAAAATGTCACTAAGAACATATAGTTGGACAATTGAAGAAACAAAGAACCGAATGATTACATTAAATAAAAAACATCCCACAAACTGTTGAGTTTGTGGAATACAAAAAAACAAGGCGTTGTTATTTCTTAGCAAGACAATTGTGTCTATCGTCGTTGGACATCTCATTACAAGTTCTGCATATCCCTTTTGCCCGTTTTTTCTCTTCGATCAATATAAAGCTCTTTACCATCTTTTAATACTTAAATATAATCCGGCATGGGGTTGGGTGGCACGAAAAGATCGGGGTGAATTTGTGAAAGCAGGGGGAGGGTCATGCAAGGCGGATTGGTCTCCAGAAGAGGCTGAGGCCTTCGGTTAGAGGGCTGCAGTCCTAGCAGCTACAGGAGAAGGGTGGGATTTGGTTGACTTCGAAACGGATGCGCAGGTGGTTGTTCGGGGGTATCAGAAAGGAGGAGACATGGCATTGGGAATCATTTGAAATCATTTATAATACAGGATTGGGAATCAGAAGATCAAATGACCGGTCAGGCATCGCCCATACTTAATTGGTGAAGTAGCTTGGTCAATATAAATTGACTAAAAAACATTCTTATAATACATCAATCAAATTGGAAGAAATATGTATACCCTAACTATAATAGTTCTACACGACTACAAGCAAATAATGATATGGTAATGGTTAATATGAGAATGATTTCAATTATTTATGGTAATAGTTTGATGTATTTTTCAAAATAATGCTAAATAAAAAAAATTACGCATTTAGTGTTGGATAAAATTATTTTCCAAAATACTGGTTAGCAAGTCATAATTTAGGGAACCACCACTTCTAGTGGTGGCTCAAACAAAGAGAAAAGCAAGAAAAGAACGCTACGAGCTCAGAGGGGTAAAGAGGAGGATTTAACTTCTGGTCCCACTGAAAAAATCACTTGTTTATTTGAAAATGTTGTAACTTTTGTATTTGTACTTCTATTATTACCAAAAATATATCAAAAATCATATTTTTTAATATCATTCATATGAAACCAATAGTTAATATATGTGTGTGTAGCAAATTCAAAAAGCTAAGCTTTTGTTTTTTAAAGTGTTGTAACTTTTTTATTTTCATTCCGATTGTTACAAAAAGTATATCAAAATTCATAAATTTTTATTATCTTTCAGATGACACTAGTATCGCATATATAAATATAAAAAACTAATTTGGTAATTTAAAACAATTGTTTTTAAAATGTTGTAAAAATTTTATTTGAACTACGATTGTCACAAAAAATATGAAAACTCATAACTTTTTAATACTTTTCTTATGACACCAATTTGGTAAATAGTTGTTTAGCCCCAATGTTTTTGGGTGGAACCATTGAAATGGAAACGTTGTATATAGAAGAGTTTGGGTTAGCGCTTTGAAATACTTGTATGACATTTTCTACTAATTGTTGGGGCCAAACAACTAAATTACATAACATCTTTTGACAATATGTCAAAATTATTCCGCTAGTCAACCTCACTAACTGAATCCGATATTAACAATCAACTAATATATTTCGTTAAGCGATAAATGCCAAACACATCATCATCAAAGAGAAAACATGTATCCTAAGTCAATGGAGGCCGGATGGAACCTTAGCTTACCTTTACCTTAGGTTATGCTGAACCGTTGAAGCAAAGATAATACTCCATCCCTAAAAGTTCTTCCATAGTACAGATGGCACACGGATTAAGAAAAGAGTATTGTGTGGTGGAGAGTTGTGCAGAAAAGAAAGAAATGTGTAAAAAAATATGTTGTGAACCACAAATTATTTGTCATAAAAAGAAAATGAATTTCTTTTGGGACGGATAAAAAAAGAAAGTTGGAAGTTATTTTTGGGATGGATGAAGTAACTAATAAGGGGGGCATATATACAAATAGCACGCCGGTAAATTATTTATGTTAAAAGTGGTAGTGAGGTACATGTTCAGTAGTATAGTACATCATTTTAGAATCGATTGTAATGATAACAATTCAATAACGTACAATAGTTAGATTTAAATTTTTCTTTGGATCGGATCATCCGAAGGTTTCCCAAGCTCTTTTGAAGCAAACTTTCATAATTCATATAATTAATCAAGCTTCAAACTTTAAAAAAGGAACCATCCTCTAGCTCCAAAATTATTGAGATTGGTAAGCCTCTACTTTTCGTCCATTGAGGGGCTGCACTGGCCGTGCATTATTCTTGCTTCCATTGTCCAAGGGACGTTTTAGAGCTTCAACTTGATCGATTGAAATTGTGCGAAACTGGAAATATGTATTCCATATTAGTCCATCAATTCAAAAATAAAAAACTATATATATATATATATATATATATATATATACATGCCATGTTAAGAACTTTGTACTGGAATGTCCATCAATTCATCAATGTCGTCAATTTTTGTGCCACAATAGTCCTTTTTATGGAGTAGTTGATTAGATATAGGACTAAAAGGAACTTCTCGAATATTTTATAGTCAAGTTGGCTGAAGTATTGTACTCCCTCCGTCCCAAAAACAACTTCCCTCTTTCCTTAAATTGATGTCCCAAAATTAACTTCACACTTCAATACTTTCCTTATTTGGCAAATTATCTACATCAAAAAAGTGATAAACAGTGTCAAACAGTGTTTAAACAGTGTCAAACAGTGTTTAAACAGTGCGAAACAGTGTTTAAACAGTGCAAAATAGTGCACTCTACAGTAAAGTCAAATTTATTTTCTAAAAGTGTGTGAAAGTCCAACTGGGAAGTTGTTTTCGGGACGGAGGGAGTATATATTTTTGTCATAAGTTCCAACAAATTCGACCGATTTCAGTAACTTCAAACGGACTCTGAATTTGCAAATGCATAAAGTTACCGGACTAAAAATGGACATGTGTATAAGTTATGGGACTACATATATGTATAATTTTTTCCAATTAAGTTCATATGTTAAAATGAAAGTCAGGTCTATATATTACTCTAATGAGCAATTCAAATTTGTCCCGATAATAAGGCTCAACAATTGAGTAAATTAACAAATATATTTCAAAATTGGCATGTATCGAAACAAGCAGGTCTATGAAGTCTATACAGTTTGTATTTTTTTTTAATTCATAATATTTCCCAATAAAAAAACATAGATTTGATTATTTCTAAGAAAAAGTTCTCCAGAATTGCTTACGTACCTCTCCTATGACTATGTCTGTAACACCTTCTGTGCAGGGGGGCGTGGTTGCAGAACCTTGGTAAGTGTAATACCTATCGGTGTTGGTAAACTCTCTTAATAAATTCTGAATGTCGGTAGTATTTCCCACAGCAACTTCAGGTGGACTTTGACCAGCCGATCTCACAGGCAGCCCACTCAATTCCTCTTCAAGCTGCATTAAGGAGATTTGATTACCATGACTTATAATGTAAGTTCTTGGTAATAAATTGTCACTTGTGTTCATTTGGGGAAAAAATTATGAAGAAAGCTATACTTAGAGCCCGTTTGGCAACCTTGTTTTTTGGCTTATCAGGCTTATCAGCCAACTTTTTCACCAAACACGTAAATTTTGCTTTCGCGCGCTGGATTGTGTAATAAGCAGAAAAAGTAAGGTTGAAGTTACTTTTCTGGCTGTATTAGCTGAAGTTACTGTAGATGACCATTTAAGCTATATTTTTTCATATAATTTTTTTCTTTATTTTATTAATAAAATATATTTTAAAAATAATTTTTTCTTATATCAACAGGATCAGCCAATGCAGTCACTTCAGCCAGAACTTCATAAATTTCAGCAAAATCAGCCAAAACAGCCGATTTTCGTGCTACCAAACGGGATCTAAAGTTACTATAAATATGTGGATGATCATATCACTACTATATATACTCATACTTAATCATACTCACTAACAATTATTAATGTGATCAGTCCGTATAGGACAAATAGTCCATGACTCATATATAACTCTATGTTGTAAAAACCGGACCGGTGAGCGACCCGGTCATGTGACTGGGTCACGGGTCAACCCGGACCCGGAGGGTCAACCCGGTCAAAGCCGGAAAACCAGTCAACGATTATACGTCTATATAATAATAATAAACATATAATTATATACACTCTTATTATGTATTTTTATTTGTATTGTACATTTATATTATAATTTGGCATGATTTTCATTCTTAAATAAATATATAAATATATTACATAGTTTTTCTTTTTAGGGAATTGAAATTGCAATTTTATTGGTTTAAAAAATGCATTAAAATTAAAAAAGAAATTACTTTTTTTTTGGAAAAGACCGAAAACCGGTTTTCCCCGGGTTTTTCGGGTTTCTTGGGTCGGGTCCGGATCGGTTTTTTTCGGGTCAACCGGGTTTTTCCGGTTTTTGACCATTTTCGAGTTTTGAAGAAACCGAACCGGATTTTTGTCCGAGTCATCGGGTTCTGGGTCAACCCGGCCGGGTCGGGTCGGTTTTTTAAACATAGATATAACTTTAATACTTCATATTTTACTCTATTTTATTAATATAACAATTTGGAATAGAGCACTTTACTAATGTCATTTTTGTAGGAGCTCGATCAAATTATGGTTATGAATCAATTTGACTTTGTTATCCTATCAGAAGAGGTCTACTTGTAGGAGCTCGATGACCTTTTAATATCACATTAAAAGGTCTACTTGATATGTGAAGAGGTTTAAATTTTTAATATAGCACTTTACTAATTCATACTTCGTATTACGTACTTATTTTATCTATGTTGGAAATATACTAACCGTCTCTATCTTATTACGAGCTTATTACGAGCTTGTTTGGTAACATTAAAAACGGCTGATTCTCGTAAATTTATGAAATTCTAACTGAAGTGGTTAGATTGGCTGGTTCTGCTGATTTTGGAGTATTTCATTAAAAAGATAAGAAAAAGTTATATGCAAAAATAGCTAAAATAATCTTAACAGTAATTTGTCAATGAAGTCAGAAAACTAACTTTAGCCTGCCTTACTTATTTTAATTTGATTATTACATGCATAACTCAACGCATGAAATGAAAAAATTACTCTGTATGTATTTAGTAGAAAATATGGGTGATAAGATTAATAAGCCAAACAACATAATCACCTACATATCAAACCAATAGCTAATTTATATTTACCTTGGCAAGAATGGGATCACTTCGGCCTAACCGCAACATAATTGCGACCAGAGCAGCACTATTATTGGGAGAAGAGTAACCTAGATGAACCTCACCAGCAAACCTACCGTCATTCACTACAAAATTATACTCCGTATATATGCATGATGCATCTACAAAATTGTTCCTCACATATAAATAGTGCCATACCTACAATGATTAATTCAAGTCATTATCTATTACGAGTACTTATTAATATTTAAATTATTCAATTGCAATATTTTAATTGATCCACGTAGTCAAGGTTCAGCATTTTAAGTGTAACATAGAATTTATCAATTTTATTAAATTCATATATTGGAGAGATGTGAGCAAATAGTAAAAACATTCTCTTTTTGCATGAGGATCGACACATCTTAGCATTTTGTTTCAATTGGTAGTATTACTGTATTAGCTTTAATTTCTCAAGTCCGTAGCCTATTATATACTACGTATAAGAAAATTAATCAAGTAAAATTATCAAATACGTAGCTTGAATGTAGATAATTAAATGGACTAAAGAGACTTTAAACGAGTAAATACCATATAAGATACTGTGGTAATATCATCCCAAAGTTTAAACTCACAATAGCCGATCGATGATCTTATTATCTTATATACGGAGTAGCAAATTGGTGTCGGATTAATAGATTTATTTCTTTTCTTTAGATCAGTTGAGTTCACTTACGTTTTTTTTTTTCTTAGTCATGCTTTTCCTAGTCATGTTTACAAATTGTATGGATATGGATTGATATTAGATTATTTTGATTAGTTTTGCAAATCGTCAACAAATACTGAAAAACTTTATTGCTTTAAACTCAAGGAATGCCATATTACCATAGAAATCTTAGATTACTGGGTATGTTAGATAGATGGAAATGTAAATAATGTATAACTCATTTGTGTTTGTTACGATTAAGGGAATGTCACATTAAATTGTTTGGTTGAATTATATCTTATATTGCATGTTTGGTGAATTACTGCCCTTTAAATATTTGTCTCTTAACTCATTAAACTTATTACAACCTATAATTAAAGTAATTAAAACTATAGAAAAATAAAACATCTTAGTAATAACTAAAATAAAAACTAATTGAATTAATTCTAAGCAAAATGTATTTAATTGCACAAATGACTAAGATTAGTGAACATTGGTAAACAATTTTATGCAAAATATGTTTAATTGCACAAATGACAAAGATTAGTGAAAGGGAAAAGTGTCAAATAGGTCCCCATACTAATACGAAAAAGTCAATTAAGCTCCCGAACTCAAAAAACATCCAATTAAACCCACGAACTAAATATAACGAGGCAAAGAGTCCTTTTAACAGGATATTAATCGTTCCCACTTAAGTTGCATGTGTGGCAAATGATGTGGCATGCCTTTACATTTTCTTTTTCTCTTTTTCTCTTTCTTTCCTTTTTTCCTTATCTCTTTTTAACCGCTTGATTACCTGCTAAAAGGACTGTTTTGCCTCGTTTTTTATAGTTTGTGGGCTAGCTTAATTGAGTGTTTTTTGAGTTCGGGGGCTTAATTGACTTTTCCGTAATATTAGAGAGGCATATTTGACACTTTTCCCTTAGTGAAACAATATAGTATTAGCTTACAATATATAGTATAATTGTATAAATAATTCCAAACAACTATAATGAAAAAAATACACTATGAATTTAAAATTACAAAATGAAGAGTGCTATATCAGAAGCTAAGATAAGAACTTGTATTAGATTAATGAAGTATGGGTTTTTTGGAAGAAAATTAATAAGCCACTAGAAATTTAGCATAACCTAAGAAGTATGGGTATGTTTGGTTCAAGGAATGTCAGATTACCATGGGAATGTTAGATTGATGGGTATGTTAGATTGATGGGAATGTATTCAATTTATATCCATTTGTGTTTGGTTGAGACTAAAGGAATGTGACATTAATTTGTTTGGTTAAATCATATATTATACAACAAACTTGGTGAATTACTTCAATGCCCTTAAAAATATTTTTTTGTAATACCCTTATTACAATCGTCAGGGTCTCGAGAAAAAATATCTTTATCGATAGGAGCCTACGTTTTTCATCGATAAAAAAATCAATGGACCACACGTCACCAATAGAATGACCTGATTATTCAAGGACTTAGGGGGCAATTAATTAATTAGATTAGGAGTAGAAAATTAATGGTTGATCCTACTTAGGAAATATTAGATATTGACTCCTATTTAAGGAAAAGTTGCATGTTATATTTTACTCCTACTAAAGGTAATTCACTATCAACCACTAGTGAAAAAAATAATGTTTGATCCTTCTAAATCATTCTTACATTATTCTAAATTTATTACTACCTCCGTCTCTTTTTTATTGAGACGGAAGAGGGTGGCACGAGTTTTAAGAAAAGTGGATTTGTGTGGTTGATATTAATTGATAATGTAAGAATAAAGTAAGAATGATTTTGAGTCACACAAACTTTACCAAATAAGGTATGAGACAATTAAATAGTGACATCCCAATATGATAAAACGGGACATTTAAAAGGGGACGGAGGGAGTAATTCACTATCAACCACATTAACTCCTTTTTCTTAATAATAACACCACCTCCTCATATATTAAGTTATCATGATCATTTAAGTTTAAAAGTTCAATATAAGTTATTATGATTAAATTACTACTGTAGTCACTTCTCACATTTTTGTAAACAATCTTTATTTTAGTCATAAATATGTAATTATTTCATTAATTTTTAATAAATCAAATTCAAAAGTATACATTTTGTATTTCTTAATCCAATATGGATGGGTTTGTTTAAAAAAAATCCAATGCAGATGGGTTAAGAAAAATAAAAAATAAATACTATGTATGCTATTTAAACTATTTTGGTTAAATGAGAATGGGTATTTTTGGAATAAAATTCACTCCCACTAAGGAATGTAAGATAACCTAAGAGTTGAGTGGGTTTGAGATGAAGGGGCATCATATTACTTTCTCTTCTTTTTCGGAATGTGACATTCCCCCCATAAAAATAAACCTACGAACCAAACACGGATATTTCAGATTCCGGGCATGAGATTCCGGCCTGCATAGGTGATTACCTTGAACCAAACATACCCTAGTGGGTTTCACATGCTCATTCATGTGATCACCTTTTTCACTTTAGGAAATGTAACATTCCCAAAAAAAATCAACCACGTAAACCAAACACGGGTATCTCACATTCTGGGCATCAAATTCCGCCCCGTATAAGATATCACCTAGCTTGAACCAAACACTCCCTGAAGGTTATGTTTCTTCCAGTTAAATTGGAAATGCCAAGACATTCCAGTTTTAAAAATGGCAGGCCCCACACTCTAAAAGGGTTATGGAATCTTAAAGGCATTTTTTCATGAATATTTTGTACTATGTAGTCCTCCCTATTATAAAATTCTCCACAAAAATGATATTCAGTGAATCATCATCTACCTGTAATTCGTCACTCTGAAATATGTTAAAGTGGCTCTTCTCCAGTTACTTAGTCGTATACAATGATTAATCATATTTTTGTCCAAAAACGTAACTAATCATATGTTTGTCCGGAAAAATCTGTTTCTGATATACATGTCATTTTTCAGGCGTGAGGTCAAATTAAATAAGCCCGGCATCTTATCTTGAAGTGCCCTTGTGATTACGCATCCATTTGTGGGGTCTCAAAGAAAACTGCGCAGAAATCCAAATTTGAATAGTGTCAAGAAACGGAACCCTTGATGGCCACCGCCTATTCGTCCTCCCAGGGAATATGGAAAAAATTACCAAAATACGGGACTTTTAGGTGTGACACGCCAAAATACGGGAATGGCAATTACATTATCAAATTGCGGGAGTCGGAATTCCGTGTTCCGACTAGAGTTATATTTTCATTGAACACCTCCTGTCGGAATTGGTAAATCCCACTAGGAAGATTTGCTCAATTTCTTTTCCCTCCTTTCGGAATTAGTAGATCCAACTAGGGCCTTTAAAAAAAGAAAGATCCAACTAGGTAGATCGTTTTCTTTTTCTACAAATTATTGATCGAACAATAAAAGCCAAATATTTGGATCCAAGTATAATATTTATGTACGTGTTCAATTTAATCAGATTAATCTAATCAGATAAATTTGTTCAGATAAGTTTAATCAGATAAATTTTAATCTTATAAATCTTAATCAGATGAATCTAATCAGATAAATTTAATCAAATAAATTTTAATCAAATAAATCTTAATCAGATAAATTTAATCAGATAAAATGAAATAGATAAATTAAAAGAGATAAGTTTAATCAGATAAATTTTAATAAGATAAATCTAATCAAATAAAGTTTAATCAGATAAATTTTAATCAGATAAATCTAATCACATAAATTGAGCAGGGTAATGATCATCATACTAGTCGTTCCGCCGTATCAACATCTGTCTTGACAAGGTGGGCGGACCGACATAATAGTGTATACACGCTGTATTACGAAAAACAAAGGATGTCATGTGTCGGGAACCCTTCTCACGTTGTGCCGGCGACAGGCTACACCCCGACATGGCGAGGACATGCCAGGGTCGAGCACGCAACGTTAGATGTAGAGTTAAATTTATTATTGCATGTACAAATTTATTAATGGAATTACATTAAAAACTACATTTGGCATGTTCACTTCCATTAAATTACATATATTGCATTTTAAAAAAATCAAATATATATTTCATTTTATGAATTTATTTCACAATACGGATGATTACTTTTATAATTTAGTACGGAGTTGTAGAAATAAATAACTTTTTAAAAATACAAACAAATAAATAAAGTGACACTTTACAATTGTAATTGACATTAAAACAAAAAGCTAGCCCATCTATGGTCGGAACACCCAAATCCGACAAGGATTTAAAATAGAAAAAATACTTTTTTTGAAACCCTAACTCTGGTCGGAACACCCAAACCCGTATATTGGGAAATCACCCGGGAATATGTGCATCTAAAATACTACCTCCATTCCATTTTATCTCTCCTTTGGGTTGGTCACAATTTTTAATGAAGTGATTGAAAAGGTAAAAGTTTTGATTGATATTTGAGTATAGTAAGATGAAATATTGTGAACCACATACGTAGTATTTCTTTTCAAAAAGGGAAATGTGACACATATTGTGGAACAATTCAAAAAAGAAAGTAAGACAGAGTAAATGAAACGGAAGGAGTATCTTTTATACTATGCGTGAAATGCGGTTATAAAGTACGTAATACCTGAGACCTCCCTTATTGATCTGTCATTACTCATTGTTGGGTTAATGGCCCAAGTTGAGGTTCGGCCCATTTACCCCTTCTTCCGGATGTACGACCAGATAGAACACAGCTAGCCTGGCAAGCCCATGTTCCTCCAGGAGGGACGAATGTCTGTAGTTGGGGTTTAGGCTCAAACAGCCCATCTCGACGAACGTCTATGCAGGGACAAGGAGCAGGACCACGGGTCACCGGAATGACGACGAACGTCGTCAGAGCAAGCCCCTAGCCATCGGAGGCAGTCCAGTCCGCATGGTGAGAATCCACAAAGGCCAGGGGACGAACGGCCAATACCCCTTGGAGGCCACCTGGAGCAATCCAGCTCGCTCCCCGGGCGGACGAACGTCCCCACTAATTAGGCGGGAAACCTAGATTCTGGCGGGAAGTGCATTTAATGCTGAAGATTTGGTGGTTGAGACACCAGCGAACCACAGGCTTCCACGTCAATATAGCCACCTGCCCATTGGTGGGTATAAATAGAAGCATTTATTTCATTGTAAAGGGTTGGCAACTTTCTATTCTTAGCACTCTAGATATAGCATTCTTACTCGCAGCACTTCTACTGCCTTGTAAGACGATCGGCCGACGAGCCTTAGTGAGAAGTATTGTATTAGGGAGTTATTAAGAGATAATAATACCTAATCACTTACTTACTGCTTACTGTTCTCCTTGATCCATATTACTTGCTAGTTGGGCTAGATATTCATACACACTCCACTCGAAATCCTTGGGCTTACGTGTTGGACCCGAGGGTTGAAGGAATAAACCCCAACACTCATTAGTCATTAGAGAACGAGACTGCGTGAAATGCGGTTAAAATGTACGTAATACCTGAGACCTCCCTTATTGATCTGTCATTACTCATTAGTCATTAGAGAACAAGACTTGAATTTGGCCAAGGACTTTTAAAAGGGAATAAGGGGTAGATTCTATGGTATCCCAAATGTATCATACATTTGTCCAAATGGACCAATAAGAATGATGCAGTTGAATTATTTATATCTAAATTAAAAAACATATAATGATTTGGACCAATCAAATGCATGGTAGGTACGGTACCCCCATTTTTTAAATGGGTACCGGAGTTGTCACCTGAGCCTTCTTTGTTATCTAGCTATGCTGACGTGGCAAATTGGCAATAATGTCTATAAGGGATTAATGGCTCAACCCCCGTTATACACTGTGGAACAAACTTTATATGTAATTTGTTATGACAAAATTAATAACGGACCATTTTTTATTTTTCTCATTTGATTTTCAATATTTTACATAAAATAATAATTTAAAAAATATTCCCTCTCCCCTCCATAATCCCTATCCCTAAATTGATCATACATATGTATGTATGTATGTATGTATGTATGTATGTATGTATGTATGTATGTATGTATGTATGTATGTATGTATGTATGTATGTATGTATGTATGTATGTAAGTATGTATGTATGTATGTATGTATGTATGTATGTATGTATGTAATAATTTTATATGCAATAAATAATAATAATAATAATAATAATAATAATAATAATAATAATAATAATAATAATAATAATAATAATAATAATAATAATAATAATAATAATAATAATAATAATAATAATAATAATAATAATAATAATAATAATAATAATAATAATAATAATAATAATAATAATAATAATAATAATAATAATAATAATAATAATAATAATAATAATAATAATAATAATAATAATAATAATAATAATAATAATAATAATAATAATAATAATAATAATAATAATAATAATAATAATAATAATAATAATAATAATAATAATAATAATAATAATAATAATAATAATAATAATAATAATAATAATAATAATAATAATAATAATAATAATAATAATAATAATAATAATAATAATAATAATAATAATAATAATAATAATAATAATAATAATAATAATAATAATAATAATAATAATAATAATAATAATAATAATAATAATAATAATAATAATAATAATAATAATAATAATAATAATAATAATAATAATAATAATAATAATAATAATAATAATAATAATAATAATAATAATAATAATAATAATAATAATAATAATAATAATAATAATAATAATAATAATAATAATAATAATAATAATAATAATAATAATAATAATAATAATAATAATAATAATAATAATAATAATAATAATAATAATAATAATAATAATAATAATAATAATAATAATAATAATAATAATAATAATAATAATAATAATAATAATAATAATAATAATAATAATAATAATAATAATAATAATAATAATAATAATAATAATAATAATAATAATAATAATAATAATAATAATAATAATAATAATAATAATAATAATAATAATAATAATAATAATAATAATAATAATAATAATAATAATAATAATAATAATAATAATAATAATAATAATAATAATAATAATAATAATAATAATAATAATAATAATAATAATAATAATAATAATAATAATAATAATAATAATAATAATAATAATAATAATAATAATAATAATAATAATAATAATAATAATAATAATAATAATAATAATAATAATAATAATAATAATAATAATAATAATAATAATAATAATAATAATAATAATAATAATAATAATAATAATAATAATAATAATAATAATAATAATAATAATAATAATAATAATAATAATAATAATAATAATAATAATAATAATAATAATAATAATAATAATAATAATAATAATAATAATAATAATAATAATAATAATAATAATAATAATAATAATAATAATAATAATAATAATAATAATAATAATAATAATAATAATAATAATAATAATAATAATAATAATAATAATAATAATAATAATAATAATAATAATAATAATAATAATAATAATAATAATAATAATAATAATAATAATAATAATAATAATAATAATAATAATAATAATAATAATAATAATAATAATAATAATAATAATAATAATAATAATAATAATAATAATAATAATAATAATAATAATAATAATAATAATAATAATAATAATAATAATAATAATAATAATAATAATAATAATATATACTTCGTGTAAGAGTTAATCACCTAAATAGGACTAAAACAATTCTAAAAATAAAAAATTGGACTACTATGTTTAAATTTCCCTAAGTAGGATTAATCATGTATGTTTGGACAAATATACCCCTTCAGATCAGATTTTAAGGAAAAAATATAATAAAAATAAAAATTAGAAGATAAAATATTATAAATTAAAAATAAAAAATAAATAAAAAATTTAAAAACGTAAAAAAAAAAATAGTGTCATTAGTAATGTCATTTTGATGGTCATTCTGGTGAAAATTTTTGGCATTATCAGAGTATGTAATGGTGTCATTTTCTTTGCATTTTCAGAAAAATGACATTTTTCTACATAAAATGGCATTTTTTACTGGTCGGATGTGGTGGTGCTAAAAGGCGGTAGGAAAGGCATCCATATTTTTATGTGTTTTCACTGTTTTTTATTATTTTTTTATTTTTTATTTTTTAGTTTTGTTTAAATGTTACTCCCTCCGTCTCAGTTCATATTCACTTGATCAACACAAAACACTCTTATCTATTATTTTATATACTTCGTATCAAATTTTTATCAAATTTGGTTATGGTTTATGCGACTTTGTAACACATTTAATGTAGTTTCTAAAGATAATTTGAGTGTGGACAGGGATTCGTTTGTTTTATCGTCGGTCAAGCATCATATTCTAAACCATCATTTAGAATAGAAAGTTAATGTTTAGTTCTATTTATACATGATTTAGGTTTTAATTCTATTTGTGCAATTAAGTTTCCATTTAGTCCTATTTAGAGGAATTACTATATATATAGAGTAGTGTTCCTGGCAGGACCTCCAAAAACGGACCTCCGTACGGACCTCGGCGTTTGGGCCCTTTCCCGGTGAAATTTTTTGATGAACTTTTTTGAGCATGTTCTTGATCAAGTCTAGTTTACCCATACCAAATTTCAGCTAAACATTCTATCAGGAAGGCAGTCAAATGATTTTTTGAAGTTAACTGCGCACTTTATATAAATATAAAAATGATGGTTTGTCATGAGGTTGATCTTAAGCCGCCAAAAAACATCATTTTTGTCATAGTTTCATCCCAATGTTTTTGTGATAATGAATTGGACGCATATTTTTGTGTAAATTTGGCGCAGATTCGTAAATAGATATGTTTCGAATCGTGACACAATCGCCCCTATTTGTTTTATCATGAACAAAATTAACCCGGAGTTGTGAGTTTGTGACAAGTATCATGATAGATTCTGGCGAAAACCAATATTTTGCGGTCAAAACTCACAAGAGTCACAAGTCACAACCAAGGGATTGGCAATCAGCGAGTGACGACATCCTTTGTATTTTTATTTTATTTATTGTCTTGCTTCTTTGAACATTTTATTGACTTCTTTTACACTACTTATTAGTTACAAGTATTGAGGTCGATTTGGCTAAAGTTTGTTTTGCACACAATTCATGGCCCATGGTTAATGCTTTTTTTGTGGGGCACCGTCTCTTGTTTTATCATTGAGTTCATCTCTGTGATGCACATGATGTAAATAAATGCAACGTTATAAATTAAATAACTTAGTATAAGTTTCTTCAGTTATAAAACTACATACAAAAAGTTTTCACAAACAAAGGAAAAAGAGAGAACGAGTAACAAAAAATGAATATCAGTGTGGGTTTTTCATAACTTTAAATTAATAGCACGTACGGAATTCTGAAGAATTGGTGTTCGGAAGGGACATGCCAATGCATTTCATTCAAGGTGTAATTCGTACCATTAAGCACCAATACTCCTCCTCCTCCATTGTAACTCAACTGCACATACTAAATAGGTTAGTTTATACTCCATCCGATTCTCAAATAAGTTCTTACTTTTCTTTTATAGAAGTCCTAGATTAAAGTTCGTATTTCCATTTTTGAAATATTACTATTATAAATTACCCTTATACCCAACTCTTACTGTATCTATCTACCTTACACCCACTTTTTATCTCCACATAGCTAATCTACTTTTTATAAGATATAATTATATAATGGGAAAATCGAAATTAAAAACTAAACTTTCTTAAATAACGTAAAATCAAAGTGTGAACTTGTTTGAGAACCGGGGGAGTCAGGAGTGTTTAAGTCTAAAATAATCGATTCTAAATCGAAATAGAAAAAATAAACAATCAAACAAACCTCAACATGGTAGCCCTTGTTAACCAAAGTGGCATTCACTGAATCACTGAATTGGATATCCAATGCCTTTAGGTTTGGGTTAACCGGTGTGAGTCTGCCAAAAAGGTTGACTGGGGATTGAGATTTACCGGTAGAGCAAAGAGTATAATTTGGGCTTAAACTTGCCCATTGGTCTGGCCCGGTTGAGCCCGAATAACTGAACGTTACTTCTGCCGAAGCCATAGGTTTTACGAGTAGAGTCAAGGCAACAACCACAAACAGCGAATCCATCTTCTATGCTCCACCCTCTTTTACTATTCTACACTCGGAGTGCAACTACATGTGTGTATATATAGAGTACAAATGGAGTTGTGAATATATTGCAAATGAAACAGATATCTAGATATTAATATAGGGTATTACTATGTTTCTACCGATTATAATACATACTATAGAAATAACTGAAATAGTATCAAACTATGTTTCTACCGATTATAATACATACTATAGAAATAACTGTAAGTGTCAAAAAAACTATAGAAATAACTATGTTTCTACCCGACTAAGTTTTATTTGACGATTTGGTACAAGTGTTTTATTAATAATTTAATTGACCAAATTTGATATCCAAAAGTAATTCTAATCACTTCTGTTATGCATTTGAATAATTTAATGAAGTACTTGTATCCGAAAGTAAAATTCTTCCATTTCAGGTATTTTTGATGTTATTTGGACAAATTTGAAGCTCATTACAATATATTTTATAAATAATTTTTTATGTAATTCAGTCAATTCAACCACTTCAATCCAAACTCATTAATTTTAGTAGAATCGCCCGAATGAAGTTGTCTCTCAATATACATTTATGTGTATATTATGGAATACTTGCTAAGGAACATGTACAACTTTCCTATCACATTGATCTAAATGATACTTTCCTAATTTATTACTCCAAGGAAAAGACTTGACGTCTTGACTCTTGAGTCTTGACCGATCGAGTTGATGTTGTATAAATGTGTGCATTAATGGAATCATAGGTTCATGATATAAATTAAAAAATGAAATGAAATGAAATATGAAATTTGTCATTACAAGTCGGTCACCAAAGCCAAATTAGCAACTCATCAAACTTATCACGATTCTTAAATGTTTAGTCCAAGAATACCACCCATAGACTGTGCCTTGTAATTTTATAAACGTGCCAAAATCTTGTGTTATGATTTAACATATACCCGTAGTGTATAAATTTGTCCAATCTCTAAATTATGTTGCCATTTGGAGCATCAAATTTGGGCTGATAAGCTTGAAAGTGTTTAAAAATAGCCAAACACTTAACAATTGGGTTGCTTTGGCAGATTTTGCTTATCAACTGAAAAAGCAAGTCTAAGGTTATTTTTTGAGCTGATATTTATTATTTGACTGTTGGTGATTGCAAAGACTCCTTAATCCTTTTTTTCTTCCAAAGTTATATGTGTCTTAATACCTGGAAAGGCTAGAATACATCTTTATGCTGCTTATGAAACCCACTATTTGCAAAGAAAGATCATTGAGTTATAAGATTAGCAAGTACAAACTGTCTCCGTTATAATATTGCAATTTCATTTTCGTTTTTATGTTGTGAATTGGGCTGATTTTTCAATATATGTAACAGCCTATTAACCTTTAGGATAAGAACCAAATTTCCAAAAATGTGTGATTAAGTAATCTTATAATAATCACCTAATTGTGCAAAAATAATGTGTTGGCAAAAATCACATCCATATTTAACACACATAGATTAATACCTTTTATAGTAATTTTACATTCAATCAACTGTTTCAGTCAACAATCAACATATTATCAAACACTTTCATTTTAGCAGATTCACCCTTTGCAGACTTTTCAGCCATTCCAGCCGTCGCAACCGTTACCAAACAGGCCCTATATGTAGTATGAAAATTCTAAACATATTTATTTTATTCGACCGCTATATTTGTTATTTCAATGTGTTGTTTGCATGATTAATAATAAAGTTCAGTCGATTTCAAAAGTTATGTGAGGTAAAACGCAATATTGTTAAAAGAAATTTGGCACATTTAAGTATTTAACCCGAGCCTAGTAATACTGTGTTAAAGTGAAGTAAAATAAATCTAGTGCAATAAAGTAAACCTACAATAACAACAACATTCAAGCCTTAGTCTCAAATGATATTGGGGTCGGCTAACATGAATCGATACATGATATCGCCAAAAGGGAAAAAAGGAAATAAAGATAAAAAAAAAGATAATATAAAGAGATAGATGAATATACATATAAAAGATAAAATAAAAAGGGAAAAAATAATATTTATATAAAAGTATAAAAGGATTTAAAAAACGGGGAGGAGATGATACAAGATCACTCCTCCACACGAATACGCGTCACCCACTTTGTTCTCACCAAAGTCATACTCTCATCCAATCCAAGAAGAAGCATATCACTTCTGACTCCTCTAACCCAGATCTATTTGGGCCTTCCTCTCCCTCTCTTCCCTGCCTCTTCTCCATATATCTCAACTCGTCTGACAGGTGCATCACTCGGTCTTCATTGCACATGACCAAACCACCGTAGGCGCGACTCCCGCATCTTATCTTCAATAGGTGCTACTCCCACCCTTGGTCTGATTGTCTCATTCCTCACACGGTCCTTTCTAGTATGCCCACACATCCAACGCAGCATGCGTATCTCTGCCACACTCGTCTTTTGAATGTGACATTGTTTCACCGCCCAACACTCTATACCATACAGTCATGCCGGTCTAATTGTTGTCCTATAAAATTTACCTTTCAATCTAGTCGGCATACCTCGATGCATAGAAATCCGGACGCACTATTCCACTTCATCCACCATGTTCTGATTCTATGGGATACATCTCCAACTCATCGTCCTTCTGAATTATGGAGCTCAAGTAACGAAACATATCGTTGATGGTATCTCCTTACTATCTAGAGTAATTCCGCTATTACCACTGCTTCTACCCCCACCAAACTTGCACTCCATGTGCTCTGTCTTGCTCCGACTTAGTCTGAAACCCTTGTTCTCCAATGTTTGTCGCCATACTTCCAACTTTGCTTTAACCCGTGATTGCGTCTCATCAATCAATACAATATCGTCGGCAAACATCATGCACCACGGTATATCGTCTTGAATTGACTTTGTAATTTCATCCATGACTATGGCAAATAAGAAAGAGCTCAGAGCCGATCCTTGGTGCACTCCGATAGTAATAGGGAACTCTGTTGTCCTCCCTACACTAGTACGGACACTTGTAGTACAATCCTCATACATATCCATGATGATGCTGATATACTTGCATGAAATGCCTTTTCTAGTTAAAGTCTACCAAAGAACTTCTGGAGGTACCTTATCATATGCCTTTTCTAAGTCAATGAAAATCAAATACTTCTCCATAAGTTGCCGAAGAAGGTGAATAGCCTCAGTTGTTGAGCGACCAGGCATAAAACTGAATTGATTCTCTGAAATCTTCACCATTCTTCAAAGTCTTTGTTCAATCACTCGCTCCCAGAGTTTCATGGTACGACTCATAAGCTTAATCCCTCGATAGTTGGCACATTCTTGTATACCTAAATATTAATAAAAACTAGGTTAACCTAAGTGAACATAGACCCATACGTAAAATAGTGTTTGGAAATATAGAAGGTGAACCTAGGTTAATGTAATAAATGTTGTTTGGATGAATGTACTCTAGCTCATTTTATGTTATACGAGAACTTAACCTCCAAAACCCCCCGATTCGGAGGTTCTTCAATTTAAGGTTCTTCCAGGTTCTCGGGAGTTAAGTGAAGTTAACACATAACCTAGGTTCTTGTTGCAAAAATACAAACAAACGGGGTTAACTAGAAATTGAACCTTCAATAACCTAGGTTAACCCCCAAACAAACATGCCATAAATGACTAAATGGTGGTTTATATACTGTGATAATTAGATAAGGAGTGTAGTGAAGGTTCTATAGACTCTAGTGTCTTCCCTCTGTTTATACAAACCGTTAGTTTGCGGTGTAAATGGGTTTATTTTCAGTGTAAATAATATCTTTAAATAAATATTACGGAGTATCTTATTCTTATTATCCTATTATAAATGACCTATGGTATGTCATCAATGTAGTTAATTTTCATTCGAAATAATTATATTCTTATAACCACATTTAAACTAATATAAGCGCTAAGGCCAAACAAATTATTTTAAGTGTAGTTTACTCTTTTAAATGTAAAACAACACATAATGAGTAAATAAGTAACCGACCGCAAACGGGCTGTATAATCAGACCAGCCCACTAGACCTACCTACTATTTCATCTATGAATGACATTTGGGGGTCCATATCTCCAAAACTGACAAGTCCAAATTCCGGAACCTGATCTCCACCATAGGTCCATAGTCAAGACTCAAGATTAGCATGGTGAAGGTAGTCATGGACCCGGGCCGGGCCTAGGTCCGGTCGGGGCTCGGGTTTTTTGAAGGAGGCCCGGGACCGGCCCGGGTAGCCACCGGGTCCGGGCCGGGCCTCGGGTCAATTTTTTTTTCCTTTTCCTAATTAACCCCCCCCCCCCCCCCCACCTCCAACCCCCAAGCCACCCCAAATGGCCCAAAATGCCCAGCCTACCCCGAAAAGATTAAAAAAATTGAAAAAAAAAAGCCCGGAACCGGGCCCGAACCGGCCGGACCGGTTCGGCTTTTGGGTGACCCGAGCCCGCACCGGGAACCCCCCGGGCCGGGCCTACCCGGAAGGGCCACCGGGCCGGACCGGTTCAGCACAGTACCGATCCCGGGCCGGTTCCGAGTCGGGCCACCCGGCCCGAGTCCAAGACTAGGTGAAGGGCAGTGAATAGATGGAAAATTGATGTACACCTTTTCTATCCATGTACACAAGCAATTCATCTAAAAAAATGCAAATTGTTTGTACATACTAGTTGTTCTAAAAAAGCACGTCAGTCAGTAAAAAGTAGGCATGGACCCGGTTCGGGCCGCCCGGCCCGCCACTGTGCGGGCCCGGAACCGGCCCGGTTCTCGGGTCCGAGTCCGGGTCGGGCCTAGGCCCGGTGGGGGGGGTCCGGGCTCGGGCCTTGTATTTGGCAAACCGGCCCGGCCGGGTCGGGCCTGGGCCGAATTGATTTTTTTTTTTTCATTTTTTGGGGTTAGCCGGGTTGGGCTTGATGGTTAGGAGGGGTTTGGGGGTTTGGGGGGTGGGGGTGAGTGGGGGGGTTAGGAAAGCAAAAAAAAAATTATGACCGGACCCGGTGGCTACCCGGGCCGGTCCCGGGCCTTCCTTCCCAAAAAAAAAAGCCCAGCCGGGCCCAGCCCAGAATTGGAACCGGCCCGGCCCGGGTCCATGACTAGTAGAAAGTAGAAACACTACTGTTGTTCTAAGTTACAATAGAAGATTTGTATTTTTAAATGTGAAAGAATATTAGAGTAAAGTTTCTAATAATATACTCCATCCGTTCTTTTTTATTAGTCTCCTTAGGCTTTGACACGGGTTTTAAGAGTAAAGTAGTAGGGGTAGTGTAAAAAGGTGTAATGAGTAGTGGGTAAATGAAAAAGTAGGAAAGAGAAAGGGGTAATGATAATAAAAGTGGGGGTATAAAGGTATATTTAAAGTAAAAACTTTCCTTAAATGGAAAGGACAGATAAAAAAAAACGTCCCAAAAAGGAAAGGACTAATAATAAAGAACGGAGGGAGTATAATATAGGGACATATCTTGTAATTTTATTACTCTTGAGTCTTTGATTTATTATAAATATATCATCAGCACACCTTATTACTTATTAGTGTGAGTGATTATTCCACAACTATCTTGCATAGTTTCTTGTTAAATACTCTGTATCTAGTAAAAATTTGGGAATTCAATTGAAATTGAGGAATGAGGGCGCATGTCGGTCCCTATAATTTAATTTTTTTACAGAAGGCCCCAATGCATAATTAAGGGGGTGTTAAAATGAATGACTGACAAAAAAGCCCTCACCACTCATCATTTACTACTTCCACAAAACCAAATCTAATTGTACATCTAAATCTAAACGCATCCCCATCATAAACACGGAAATTATTATACACACACCTCAATCCGAAGCCACATCTCCTCTCTAGTCTCTACACATAATATCATCAACAGCAGCCCCTGTTTTCATGATTTTTCGTTCTCCTCTGTCGCCGAATGGTGGTTTAATGTAGAAGAAGACGATACACTGAGTCCATTGGCCTTAATTGAACCGGCAGTTGTGCTTCTTTGGTCAGGAACATCAACAGCACCTTCGAGAACCGTCTTCTCCTCCTGCTGCTGCTGTTGTAACATCACCATATGTTTCAACGATGGCACGTCTCCCTTACAGAAACGGCTCCACATACTCCTATATGTCTCCTCAAGATTCAGGGTAAATTGTGACCCATCACATAGAGGCGATTTCAACATGAGATCCCGGAGACTCATTCTCAGCTTTGAGAGGCCAGTAAGATCAGATGCCAACTGAATCGCCAACTTAACGTATTCATCTTCATCCTCAGCAACCAAGTTTTTTAACCCTAAAATGAAAACTATCAGCAGACACCTCACAGCAAATTAAGACAAGCAACATAATTATTTTTGTGACCCCCCCCCCCCCACATCCCCCACACTCATGTTCCCTCACATATCTCAATCGCATGTAGCTTTTTAGTGTGCCACTCGTCTCTTATGAGAGAATGCATGCTAGTCTGAAAAGCCATACATGAAAATATTCTGGTTTAAATCAATGGGTATATATCATAATGATGGCTTTTTACCCTGTCATTTCACTCACCATGAGAGATCTAATGGCCACATACGAAAATGCAGTTACTGTTCAGTATAGCATGTTACTTAATGACATGTTCATAATCTTGTTTTAGCCTACTTTCATTGTTGAAAATCTCAAAGAAAGTCAACAGTCCCATAAAAATAGTTACTATACTAAAAATTACTACAGAAAAGGAAAACACGTACCAATTGCATTGAGGAGGCTCACACCAACATTATGAGCATGTACAGAGCCTCTCATAGTGACACAAGGAACTCCCATGAATAAAGATTCACACGTAGTGGTTGTTCCCGCATATGGAAAAGTATCCAAGCTATATAAACAAAAATAATAATCCCGTGGTGAGCTGCGCTTTATTACCCCATTTGCAAAAAAAAATGAAATTCCCAAATTTGTTAACCACAGAAGATACAACGACAACGACAACAACAACAATAATAATTACCTAATGTCCATAAGAGAGTATGCTTGCATATGATCATGGTTAAGAAGGATTAGAGGTAAAAGATCAACACGTTGTGGGTCCAGGCCCAACTGCTCCATGGTTGAAAGAAAACCTTGTCTTACACTATCACAACAAAAAGGCTTACACTTTACAATCAATCGTGAATTAGGAACTGCACATAGAATCCTTGCCCACACTTGCAACACTTCTGGTGTTATCTGTAATTATTAACAGAAGATGATAAGATCAGCCAATGCAATCAAATGTATATGCTCAGCTACTAAATATCTTAAAACACATATCAATGACCTTTGCAAGATTGTTAAAGCTACCAAAAGTGATGAATCCATTAGATAGGGCAGGAGTTGGAGATATGGGGCCCACTTCAGGGGATGGTGTATAACAAAGAAAGCACTCTGGCAAGCGGACTAATTCCTCAACATGTCTACATCCACAATTTAAATAGTTTAGATTCTAGACCAACAACAACAACATACAAGTCTTATCCCAAAAGAGTTTGGGGTCGGCTAACATGAACCGACACATAAAACCGGAGCTAAAAAAGATAAGAAAGATATAAAGATAAGAAAGATATAAAGATAAGAAAGATAAGATAAAAAAGATAAAAAGGATAAGATAAAGATAAAAATGATAAGATAAACTCTAGACCACGACTTCAACAATGCAGCATCAGGGAAATCTGAGTAGTAGTAAACTAATGATGGATCTGACACCTACTTTTGTGTTGTATCCAGAGGGTCAGCAAGAGCATCAGTAATTCTGTAGTCAATAGTAGGCAACCCTGTAGTATTTGGGTAGCCAATCCAAGTCACCTGTAAGTGTGACATGTCAAAGAAAACTTATTCCAAAACTTATAATATTGTGCCCAAGTTATCACAAGTCATAACGTTCCCGTTACTTTCCATGTCGGCATTACAAATCCTTTATAGTAAGTAGCAAAAGAGTGAGATTGTACATACTACATATGCACTATGCAGATAATATAGCGTTGTGCCCTTCTTCTATAATTCTATGTGGTACATGACTAACATCATAACATTCCCACGATACAAACAAAAAGAGTGCATGTGAAGTTGGTACTAACTACTAATATACTATCAGGAAAAATCATGGCCTAATAATAAATGTCCCATAAAAACACATGAAGTAACCAAGACTTGTACACCAATCTTACCTGAACAGGGGCTGGTCGGCAGGCCATCATTCCTAGCTTATTGTTTGCAGTGTGGCCAGTAAGTTCCACCAAGATGTCAATCTTATCTTCTCTAATCATGCTAGCAACTTTTTTCTCATCGATCCCATAGATATCTCTCCAGACACCACCCTTTTTCAATACTCTGTCTCTAAATTTGTTGGTTTTTGCATCTGTCTGCAACAATATATAACAATACCATTAAGACAAGAAAGTGTATTCTCTTCAAACCCAAAATATTTAGTTTATACGTACAAGGGAATACATAACTGCAATATGACTGTACCTTAACAACAGCTGAATAGATGACTAATTTATAATTTGCATAGTCATGATAGGTGAGGGGTGCCTCAATGAAATATGATACAGAATGAGTGAAAAAATCAGGAGACACGTATCCAATTATTAGTGGCCTTTCTGGATCTTTTGGATTATCCCATGAAGTATATTGGGTATACAATCGCATGAAGCGCCTGCCCCAGTCTCTGCATTTTGAAATTTCATGTAAGAAGATGTACTCACCCAACTGCAATCAAATGTGAATTCATACACTTTCAAGTCTACTTCTGTGTGTGTTCAGCAACAGTGCATATAGTTAGATAAGCTCATTTGATATTCAAAATTCCAAATTACTGCAGTTACATTAAGGCATTTGGAAAAGGCATAGATTTCTCCTTTTTAGCTTAAAAGAAAAGATATGCTTCACTTGATCTCATTCATCATCATTAGTCATAACTAGTTGGGTTGGTGATATTAAACTTATAGTTCCCGCTAAATTGTATAAAAAATATTGAACACTAAAATTATGCTGAAAAGCTTAGTGGCAATATCTTACACTGGATGCAATTCCTGTCGGAACCTTCACAAGGAAGAATAGGGAGATGAAAATTCTAAAACCTTCATCATCACAGATATTATATGATGCATGTACATTGATAACATAGTACTAAAGTACTAAACCCCTTTAATGTGTGCATTAAAGAGAGGAGAAATGGGGGCTCAGCCGCTTTCATATCAAGCACACATGAACACATTACCTGTGAGCCTCATATAGCTTATCGTCAGCTCCCTCATGTATGTAGTTCATTGCCAACAAACGATTCTGCAGAGAAAGATCACAACTTATATGAAACAAACTAAGTTATCACAAATTCACAATGGTGATAAACCAGAAATCTACGCGCACACCCACAAACAAACGTGCACAACCTAAAATCCCCATTTTGATTCTAATGTCATCAGAAACACGTTAGCCATTGAGGAAATGCAGAAAAATTAGGGCCACGTTCCAGCCTTTAAAAGCACATGCATACATAATGTAAAGCAATTATCATAAAAGCCCAGTTTGACTTAAGGCTCTACTTAGGTGACTAGGGTTTTCTCTCACTTTAGGCAAATTATACTCTTACATCCAGCATGACCCAAGCAGTCTCTGAATAAGAAAATGACCCCGTCTATATTCTAGTCATGCCTATTGCTGTTGACAATTACTAAAATTACAATAGAAGATTTCATCTTCATTCTCTGATTCTCCTTGCAAGTGCTAATGGACCAGAAATACAGCGAAGGCAGTGAACCAGAGTCATTTGATTAGAATCTTGACACCATAATGATGGGTAAAAAGGGAATATTACCTGCCCAGCATTTCTTGAATCAGAGTCTATCTTAAGGCACTGTTCATACGCTTCAATGGCAAGAGATATGTTCCCTGCATCTCTGTATAGAACTCCTGTGTGCATAAAATTTCTGAAGTCTTAATTTAAAAATTAAAACTACATCTCAATGTCCCCTCAAAGAAAATAGTAATTGATCAAATGGCATAGTTTACTTTCTACACCTGTTTCATGGCCAGGATATTGAAGAATGAAAAGAATAAGAACATAGGTGCTAGACTGAGGATTAATACTTTGGTTATAAACAACAATGAATTATATGTCTCATATTACTCCACCGTAGGTGGGAGCCTTTGCGGCACTGGGGTAATGATGATGATGATATTACATTGATATTGACATATTTTTAAAAACTAAAGAAAATTACTAGAAGTATGACCAAAAGAAGTGGTGATTCCTAAAGTATGACTAGATAGCTTTTTATTCCTAAATCAATGGTGTTTTATATGTATGATATGTGTTTTTATCCTACTTTTTTCTCTTAAATTATCTTATTACTCATATAGAGTCATGTTTAAAGTTTACTAGTCACATTTAGGAAAATTCAAAAGCTAATAGTTTGCAGCAACCGCCTAAAGCTAGTGCATAGCTAATTGCATCAAGGACAGCCTAATTGCAGGACAACGAAACTCCAAAAAACTGAACAAAAACTAAAAGTAATTTGGCATCACTTTGTGATATCTGATTAATGAGCTATGCTCCCAACACAATTTTCCAATCTTTTCACAAGCAGAATATTTAAGACAATGTTATAAATTTCATGCCACCCTGCCACGAATAGTTTCAATGAAAGTTCTTGTGATGATATAAGATGAAATTAATTTTCACTGTGTTGGCCCTATTTAGGAAAGTCTAGCATATTTTATCATCCTTCATTAAGCCATGTCTTATAATTAAATGTCCTAATTTATTTATCTCTTCAAAAATTCAGGTCTTCAAACAATTATTATAAAACTCTTTTTAATTTTCATTATTTTTTTAAAAAAAATGTTTATCATGTTCAAATTGGTTTAATAGAATTGTGTGGTTTTTTAATATGTAAATTTTGATGACTAATAACCAAAACTGAATTTCAATTAATTTTATTCTAGTTGAGATAGCCCTTATGATTTGGGATTGATGGGGCTATTTCTTTTCTCCTACTAGAAAAGAAAAAAATTCCACATTAGCATACCTCAAGAAAATATTATCTTAAGAAGCAAGTGGACTGAACACCCACATTAAGAGACAGAAAGAAATAGATACCTAAATTGTTATACGCTTCTGCATAGGTAGGGTTTGCGATAATAGCTTTTTGAATCATGCTTTGAGCAGCATCCATTTTACCCTGTTAAGAATCACCAATGCTATTGAGTATTGACTATTGCCTAAGCCATGTCAAAACAGCAGTACAGCACTAAATAGAAATAGACATTTTACCTGGACAGTATAGACTACCCCGAGATTATTTAACGACTGAGAAAAATTTGGTTTGATGGACAAAGCCTTCTGCAAACATTGCAAGAAAATAAAGTCAAATAAAATAAAGCATGTTTTTCACTAGGTGTAAGAGATAGATAACTGCCTGATAGCACTCCACTGCTTTATCAATGTTGTCCCGATCCTTATATATCACTCCTAAATTGTTACATGCCTCGGCACACTGAGGATTAAAGTGGAATGCCAGTTCATAGAACACAATTGCCTGACAAAGAATTGATAGGTTTAATAACCTTATTATGAAGCTACTAGCAAACATACTTCTATCAAATCTCAACAAACATGTGTAAGTATAAGAATGATAACGGGCTTTAAAAATATAAGAATAGGGGGTTAGAAAAAAACACAGGGGAACCTACAAATTTTACTGTGGAGATTATAGATTTGATTACATTAAAACTTTTTGTGCCATTGCACAGCACTTGATACAAATACATACAACAAAAACAAAGGTCTTAACTCTCAAGCTTCCCAATCAATTTGGTTCTCTTTATTCCTATGGAACCTGCATCAGCATATCTAAATTCTAAAGTTGGGATCAAGATACGATTGTGCCAATTTCACCATCTGACGGTGCTAATTTCACCACTGAGGAGTTACTCCACAATTCTTTAGAGGAATCCGAAAATCAACTTGTCATCTAGATTCCATATGGATGGTTGTCAGAGTAACTCCACTACGGGGTCTCCAATGAATCCAGATCTCTAAAGTTGTAATCCTACTATCCAGTTGTTCCAGGAATCTACAACTAGATTAGGCGTGATGATCCAGATAAAGGATCCAAGACTGTTTTTAGAGTGAACCCACTGTTTTCTTTTCAGGAACTTTTACACCATGGTCATCATGTTAAGTGGTCTATGTGTATATGCACATGCATACACACATAATAGATTTCTCTCTCCCTTACTGTGGGTTTATTGTTCCCAATACTATAGACCACCAAAAAATTTAAAATTACCATGTCAAAATTCAGCAGTTCCCCATAAGCAACTCCTAGATTATACATTGCATCAGCATAATGCCAATTGTAGTACAAAGCTTTCTTGTAATAAGCTACACCTTGATCAATGTCCCCATCCAGTTTAACCTGTGGGAAAGAAATATCAGGAAGGATTTTTATGTACTTCAAACTTACTAATCCTGACAGAGAAAGAAAACCTAACAGTCTAACACAGGAAAGTGCCCGATTGGAACCAAATCAAAATCTTCAATGATTTTTCCATGTCTATAATTATTTACAAATATAAACACTAGCACTAATAGTAATGATGTTCTAGAGCACAACAAATAGGTTTCATCCATTTTGAAAAGATTTTTACCTCAGGAAAAAATAAAATTAATCGCAACAATAATTATTATATTCAAACCTCTGGCATAAAATTTACTCAACGGGAGACAATGCACTTGAATACAAATCAACTACAGTCTAATACTACCTTTGTGCCAATGTCAGTCAAGGCAATGGCCATGTTATTCTTTGCAATCTCAAAATTCGGAGACACAGCCAAACATCTGAATCCACATCACAAATTTCAGTATGGAATCATATGAAGAGAACATGCGATGAAACTGAAAGATAGTGAGGCTCAATCAGATGTCTACCTCTCATAACAAGCAATAGCTGACTCCAAATCTCCCCGATTTTTGTATATAACACCCATGTTGCAATATGCTTCAGCATACATCGGCCTCTCCAATGCTGCCTTCTCATAGCATCTAAGCGCCAAGTCATATTGCATCATCTCCGAATATATCACACCAAGGTTATAATAAGCAGGCTGCATATTTCACACCACTTAAAACTATTTTTTTTCAAAAGTTGAACTGAAAGTATTGAGGGCCTGAGGCATAGAGAAAGAGAATGATGAACTTACAGCATAGTGTTGGTCTATTTCAATTGCCTCATAGTACTTTTGAATACCTTCCTGGGTATTACCAGCAAGTTTTAAGCTGGTTCCAAGGTCTGTTAATACGACAGCAAGGCATTCTGCAGCTGGTTTATAGGAAGGGTCTGCCTTCAGAGCTTTTTGATAAGACTGCAAGGGGGAATTCTTATATTAGTATCCAGTACACTTAACATGAAAAAGAAAATGATGTGGGAAGCTGTATGAAAAGTATTCATAGCTGTAAAAACCATGACTCAAAGTTCTAAACTCACGACCATGGTCTAAAAATCGGCTTAGTCGCCGCCTAGGCGCTAGGTGGTGGTCGAGCGCCCCGATTTCATTATAATTGTTAGGAAAATTGGTCACTAGGCAGGCTAGACGGTGCTTGGGCGGCCATGATTAATTTTTTCTCGACCCACTTAGTTTTCTCTGTTTTGTCTTATTTTTTTATTCCAACAATATATGTTAGAATGTATATGAATATTTTTAGAGACTAAAAACACAAACTCTTATTGTATGTAAAAAAAATATTAATTATTTCATTATTGATAAATTTACTACAATTTTCCATCATTTGCAATGGAGCCAAAGATTCATTATTTTTTGGCTTGAGAATATGATTGAATAAAGCAAAATGGCTCACTAAACTGTCTGCGCTTCTTTGTTATGAAGCAGCAGTCAGTCCATGCAATTTTGGACGCGATTTTCACTATGGGTCATCCGGAAACAGTCTCTTTGTGCTGTAGTACAGGGGGTAAGACTGCGTACATCCGATCCCCCCTTACCTCACCATAGGTGGGAGCCTTTGTAGCACTGGGGTAATTGAAAATGAAATGAAATGATGATTGATAAATTTACTACAAAAACATATTACCTCTGTCCCCTTAATATTGGAACAAGGGGAGTGGTGCGGTTATTAATATAAGTGGAATTGTGTGGTTAACATTGAATTGATAAAGTGTGAATGAAGTAAGAATGAATTGCAACAACTCAAATATTACCAAGTATGGTATATTGCTATGAGACGAACTTAGTGGGGCAGACAAAAAAGGTAAAATGATAGTATGATACAAAGATGAGGGGTAACATTTAATAATTATATGAGCTATTTATACTGTCAAAATATTATACAACTATTGGCAAATAATACGTAGTATTAAAACTCATAGGAAATAAAAATAAGACAAGGAAATGGAGAGGAATGCCTAGGCGCCTTAGTCGGAGTTTAGGCAGGCTAGGCGGCCAGTCACCACCCGACTAGCGCCTAGCACCTTTTAGAGCAATGCTCATAACTAACGCTCTCCAAAAATGAAAAAATGATCAAAAGAAACATAATGAATGTGTGTGGTTCATCAATAAATAAAAAAATTGTACTTAAACTTTACTCATTGTCAGCTAAACAGGTCTGTTTCTAAGTACTTTTAGTTCTTTACAAAAAAATAGAGGCAAAGCACGCAAAAAGTGATTCATAACTAAAAGGTCATAGTGATGAAGTACCAACATCATCATTAGATAGAACCATGAAATTCTCAACATTTAAAACATAGGAGTCACGTTACTGATCATAAAAGAGAATTTGACATATATGCTATAATATCAAGTGGTAGAATATAGGTACTAATGTACTATGTACCAAGCTAATGAAAGTGCAATTTGTGTTGTCATGCTTTATATGAACTGGTAGAATATTGAAACCAAGCTAATATTTTCTTCTGAGCACTATAAGAAGCCACAATAAAATACTCCGTATAAACTATAATTGCCACACACGTGCAGCATACCTCAGCTGCTTCTACCAGTCGGCCTTCATCTTTGTACAAAATTCCACTATGTGTAAGAGCGCATGCATTCTGTGGCTCCAATCTGATAGCTTCTGCAAAACATTCAAAAGCGGGAGTGGGCATGTTCTGCATCTGCAGGCAAATTCCTTTGCCAATGAGAGCTTCAACATTTCCACCATCCTTCTCTAATACCTTCTCATAGATAGCAAGCGCATCAACAAATTTGTTTCTTGATCGAAGAATGTTTCCAAAAGATACATCATCCTTCCCTTCAACTCTATCCTCCACAGGACTACTGCAACCCGGAGAGCCTCCACTGCCTGATGGAAGTTGGTCAGTTTTTATAAAACCATTGCTAGTCACTGAGCCTGCTTCCTTCACGTTTTCAGCGTCGTTCTCTGTCCATGCCATTGAATTAAGCTAGCAGGACAAACCTAAACCTAGAAATATGAACAGATTTTTCAAACCAATATCTTAAAAAAGAAAAACATTCCCCCAGAGGAAGTCATAAAGCATAGGTATTACATACCAGCCAAAGCTCATTGTTACAATGTCTATATTACAGCTAATTTTTAAAGCATAATTGGTTATTTTCTTCCTTATGAAGTCTAAAAATCGGAAAATATCAAATTTCATTTCAAGAAAATGAACAGAATGAATTAGCAGTTACGTAAAAAAGATTGAGCAATTGCAGGAAAGGGTTACTTACTGAACCAAGATTGGTACTTATGCAACTCGTACTAAGTAAAGATGGACCGCAAATGAAAAAACCCAGAAACTTGCCAAGCATTTTAAGAACAACAAGAAATAGGAAGCAGAGAAGCGTCACACCTGGAGATAAAACGCGTAAAAAGCACCGGGACACTCTGACAGAAGTAGAACATGCCTCGCCGCCTAGGACCCTAGCGGTGGGAGATGACGGACTTTAGTGTTGGTTTTGAAGAAGTCGGCGAGACGGCTTGATGGGTACTTGGGGTTTTTTTCCCTGCATAAATGGTGGTGAAGAGTGTTAAACTCCACAGTCAACAGGGCAGATGTGGTGAAGTATGCGGCAGTCAGATCTATGTGGGACTGGAGGAGACTGGGAAGAGAGCTTGATTTCAGATTTTCTACTATGACTATGATGATTAGGGATTTAGGGTTGCGTTTGTTTCCGTTTTGTTTAAGGGAGTATTTTCCTGCTGGTTCTTGAAGTTCCTTTTGCATAATTTAGGAAAATGTCTGGGATTTTTCCTTTTCTGGTTCGTGCTGATGCTTCCCAACTACTACATAGTTAAATGGATGTATCACGAGGATGGTAAACTAATATGGTAAACTGATATATTGGCTATTGTTTAGAGTTTGTTTATAGCTGGACATGAGATTATTCAAATGAATGAAATCGATTCATTTGAGGCAAAAACTAAACTATATTGATGGCTGCAAAAATATAAAGACCAGTACAAAGAGCATGAGTTTTTTTCTGAAATAATGTTAAATAAAAAATTATTTGCGAAATTAAGGTCGGATTAAAAGTATTTACCAAAATACTGCTGGATCTAACTATGGTAGGACAAAGTCGCCAAACGGTTTGGCGACTTTGAAGTCGTCAAACGGTTTGGCGACTTTGAAGTCGCCAAATGGTTTGGCGACTCTGCGAACCAGGAAGGATGAAGTTTATGGGCAACGAATTCATATAAATAAATGTGGGTCCCATTGGATATAAAAACCACTTTTTTCTTTAACAGTCCATAACTTTTTCGTTTTTGCTCCACTTTTTATAAAAAATATATCAAAATTCATGATTTTTTATTCTCTTTCATTTGACACTAATATTGGATATATAAACTTTTAAAAAAAATTGAAGACTTATTAGACAATATTCTTATTTTCCAATCTCGGTACAAATTATTTCAAAACAATAATATTTGTGTAAATAAACTTTGTTTTGTTAATATTTTTGAAAAAAAAAACTCTTATTTAATATTATATAAACAAATAATTACTATTATATGACGAAAGTAAATATAGGGAATGAAGACAGGACTTGGTAATTTTTAGAGGCTATAATTATGCTTGAATTATACGTAGTATATTAGTGTGGCCATAAAAGTATACTAATAACCAAAACCAATCATTCCAGATTAGCTGGTTGTGAAGTTACTGTGTCGTCCGTGCCCAGTGGAAGGTCTCGAGTTCGAAACCCACTAGGCACATAAGGGGTTGAAACTCAATTAAGTGAGTTTCAGCCCTGATTACTCCAGGCTGCTCCCAGCCCCCCTCCCCCATACCCCCTGGAGTGTGAGTGTGTGTGTGTGTGTACTCATAACCAATTTAGAATCTTTTTAGATCATGTCTTTCGACTTATCAGGCTTATTAGACAACTTCTGACTACAATGACATTGTCTATAAGAGTTTTCTGTCTAAAAAGACATTGTCTATTGTCTTTTTAGGAGTTATTTGTTTATACAATCTTTATTTTAGTCATATATGTGTAATTATTGTTTTGAAATAATCCGTACTGAGATTGGAAAATAAGAATATTGTCTTTTTGGCCTTCAATTTTTTTTAAAAGTTTATATATCCAATATTAGTGTCAAATGAAAGAGAATAAAAAATCATGAATTTTGGTATATTTTTTATAAAAAGTGAAGCAAAAACGAAAAAGTTATGGACTGTTAAAGAAAAAAGTGGTTTTTATATCCAATGGGACCCACATTTATTTATATGAATTCGTTGCCCATAAACTTCATCCTCGGATATACGGCCTTTGGACTGGCTCTGCAGGCAGGTGATCGTGAGAGAGTCGCCAAACGGTTTGGCGACTTTGAAGTCGCCAAATGGTTTGGCGACTTTAACCTACCATAGTTAGGCCCAGCAGTATTTTGGTAAATACTTTTAATCCGATCTTAATTTCGCAAATAATTTTTTATTTAACATTAATTCGGAAAAAAACTCCAAAGAGCATAAGGTTTCAAAATGCAAGATTGTTTGATGGACTTTTTGCATTTGATTCTTATTTTGACAAATTAGTTATTTTGATATGATGTGAAAAATGATTAATATTAAAAGTTGAGTGCATGGAGAAACACTTTGAGCCTATTTCGTAACCCTTTTTTTAGGTTATCGGACTTATCATCCAACTTTTTCATCAAACACGTAATTTTTAATTTCGTGTGTTGAATCGTGTAATAAAAGAAAATGTACGGTTGAATTCACTTTTCTGACTTTTTTGATTGAAGTTATTGTATATGATCTTTTAACTATTTTTCATACTCGGGTATAATTTTTTCTTTGTTTTATTAATAAAAAAATAATTTAAATATGATTTTTCATAAATCAGTTGAATCAGCCAATACATCTTCTTCAGCTAGAACTTCATAAATTTTAACAGAATCAGTCGATTCAGTCAATTTTAGTGTTATCAAACGGACTTTTCATATGACTAAAGAGTCATTTTTTGTGTACACAAAAAACACCCTTACCCCCTCCTGATTGGGTAAGATCACTAAAATAAATAGTGTAATAAAACAAATCTAAGTTTTAATATTGTATAGAACTTAAGTTAACACATACAAAAAGTTCTTTAGATATAAATAAGGTGAACCTAAGTTAACTTAATGAAATATTGTTTCCATGAAGATATTTTAAATTATTAATGGCATGTATACCCTTTAATAAAGCTCAATTAAATACACATTAATTAAATAAAATTCACAAGAAATCATCTCATGAACACATAAAATAAGTAAGGAATCACATCATTCATTAAAAAAAGCATAAATTTCCTAGCATCCTACAATTTAAATAAGTTTGTAAACAAGATGCCTAATATCCAATCAAAGTGTGTGTAACCACACTTCTCTCAATCCAACATAACATTAAAATCAATGAGCTTTAGCCTCCATCAACATTGAGAGTTATATGTTGCTCTGGTCTTCCCTTGGTGCTCCACTAAGAATGCGGATCTCCATGCGATTTCTTGAAAGATACAAAAATGTTGGGAGCCTATGTCTGAGCCAAAGTCCATATCATTCAATAATTGATTAATCTCATCAGTCGGGGAGAGCTAGATAAAGAAAGTAATATTATAAAAGATTTTTAAACTCTTTACATGGCTCCGAAGGGAGTACTTATATGAAAAGAGTAGGTTGGGTTTCCATGCTTGGGTCAGGCAAACCAGCTACAATAAATGGCTAATAAATGGTATGTAATTTATTCTATTGGGTCTATATGAATAAATAAAGTAGTGTACAAAAATTTAAATGTTATCTATCGAGCGTACGTGGACCGCTATCCGGACTCAATGGTCATGAGAGTGGGGGGTCGAATCCACATACTCTATCAGGAGTCACCACTCACTAAGGCGAGAGTACTCGAGGCGAAAGGGAGTAGAGTTATGTGATGATGTTCAATGTGATAATGTGGTCGATGCAAGTGGCAATCCTTGTAAAGGCGCTTGAATTTTGTGCTTCCTCGATTAACGGAGGCGCTAAGTCTCTTACTCTTTGAACTGAGTGCGGTGAGATGAAGAGAAGTAGAGTAATGCATGGCTCGTGATGACTCCTGTAGGGGCCGAGAGTTGACACATTTTGTCTGCGGTGGGGGGATGCCTTGTTAACACCCTCGTTAAGAAAAAAATATGGGGAAATCTTAATGAGGGAGAAAGAGTACATCAGATGTCCCTAAAATGAAGCAAAAGAGGTGAGCCCTTCGATCGAGCCGTGGAGCTGCAACATACGCCATTTGCGGAGGGAATGGTCGGGACCGATTTTCGTATGCGAGTATTGTGACATGAAAAGTATTCCTGCTCATCAAATAAAGATGGTTACGGGATGGGTCGAGCGACCGTCCATAGTATGATGTCTGGATCATTTTTTAGAGGAAATAGCTTATATTAAAATCAAACGAGCCAATGTAACAAGCATGTCCCAAGACTTACATCTACCTCTCTCAAAACAAAATCAAAAGCGCATCGCCCCCTCATGTCATGATCAGACATAGAGCGAGTCCCAAGACATAAATCATGTCCACCCGAATAGAGTGAGACTAATCGCTGAAACGGTGGGAGCAAATAGGCTATTAACGACTGAGTCAACCTGATTGCCTCCCAACAAAAACCTATATAATGAAATAAACCAAGCAAAACCCTTACCCCCTTAGTGTTTGAAATAACAATAACAACAGGGTTCATAACCATAGAACTCAAAAAGAGTGAAACAAGATTAAACAAATTACACTTATGGAGAACCTGAATCCATACTTCAAGTGTCATCCTCTATGACGGTGGTTCAGGAGGGTGGCAACTCATCAAGCCTTCATCTTCTTCCTCCAACATCTGAATCTAGAATTCTCCATGTCACTTCAAGCAAAGTCTTCCCCTCAATCCCTTAACCTGGTCCGCTCCTAAAAGACCACCGCCACAAACCCTGAATTGATCCTGAACCTCCCACCTTCCCTTTGACTGACCTAGTACAGTAGTTCGCTGACATGTTCCTGCAGTCCCTGTCAGTTCGTTTGTGAGCATCGCCCATCCCTGCGATCGAGCCTCGACAGTTTCTTCTAATTGGCTGCTTTGAAAATGCTCGAGCTATTGGAATCGCCGACCCCAAACTTCCGTAGACGGGGGTCTAAAACCCTAACTGCGACGTCCACTTTTTAACTCTAGGCAAGATTTGCGAGCACCTTTACTCAGTTTGTGAACTACAAAAGGAGTTGTTCACTTTAGTAATTAAAGAGGATAAAATATTCAAGCACAAATTACACTTTACACATTTCCAACATTCTCACGGCGGGAAATCTTAGGAGGATGTGGAAATTTCGGCTAGTTACGGAGTGTGTGGACAAGGAGAGGATACTACAGCTCGGAGCTTGATGTCTGGATCATTAAATAAAGATGACCGGGATATGTGGCTGAGAGACCTATGTAAACTCTAAGTCATCAAATAAAGACGATCAGGAGATATATGTGGTTGAGAGGCCTATATGAACTATGGGCTTCTTTAACTTTTTCAGTCGGAGACCGCAACATATTCGCAACACTCCGTCATTCGCAAAGGGAGTGGCTGATATCGGTCTCAATCAAAGATAATGGTTGTCACTGTGACATCGTGCCATGACTTACTTGATATATTATTATTTAAATTCAACTCGTGTATTTGAATTCCCTGTTATTAGTCATGTGTCATGTGATTGAGGAATAAATTAACAAATGATTAAATTAATTGTTTAATGAGCCCATATTTTAAGAACGTCCTACCAAATACTTAATTGAGTCACCCTATTTATTATAGAAGCCCAATGTAGGGTAAATATAGATTCATAAGCCATTTGGGCCAAATAAGAAAGGTTGAGCAGTCTAAGTGCTACTTTGAGTCCA